AGAGAGAGAGAGAGAGAGAGAGAGAGAGAGAGAGAGAGAGAGAGAGAGAGAGAGAGAGAGAGAGTGTGTGGTTAGAATCAATCGAATATTACTGTCAAGAAATAATATTGTGCTCAGTCAAAATGTCCCGCTTATGACTGATTCAACCCTTCGCCGACAAAAATTCCCATTCTACTAAACTGCATTCTCAATTATGTTTTCGAGGGAAATGTATTTTCTCGCAGATTACAGTCTCAGTTTCAAAAACGAAATGTACGCTGTCAATTGAAAATAAATAAATAAATTCTAAAAAACTATTTGTTAGGTTTAGTTAAGTAAGTAAGATTTATTTATAAAGCACTTTTACATCACAAAGTGTTTAACAGGAGCAGAATTACAAGCATAAGAAACACAACGTGACCATATAAGGGCCAATAGTTTACATACACACAGAAAGTACAAACATAAAACATGGTTTAAAAGCAGTTCTAGGACATGAGTTGTTAGTCAAATGCCAGTCTGAGCAGGTGTGTCTTGAGCTGATTCTGGAATGAGTTCACAGAATCTGCGAGGCGTAGAGGTGCAGGCAGGTCATTCCACAGCCTCGGTGCTACTGCCTCAAAGGCTCGGTCACCACAGGTCTTAAGGCGAGTGCGTGGGACAGACAGAAGACCTAACACGTCTGACCGGAGGGTGCGGGCGGGTGAATACGGGTGAAGTACATCACCCTTATCCATTATTTAAACATCATGGTTTGGCATAAAATGTTTGTTAGGTAATTTAAGTTAAGGACTTAACTTTAAATTTAACATTATAAACAGTAGGGGTGGGAATCACCAGAGGTCCCGCGATACGATATTATCATGATACTGCGATATTCTGAGTATTGCGATAACATAGGCCTATATTGCGATTTATTACTTTTTTCAACTTCAAATTATGTCTCCAAAGGAAAACTGTGTCAACATGTTTTATCTAATAAGATAAAGTTTTCAGTCTGTTCATCTCACTTCAATCATTTTTATTGCAGCAGAATAGGATTGTCAAGCAGACAGACTGACCAACAATGTCATAAATGTTGCACCTGACAAACTGAACTGTTTGTATTACTACATAGTCCAACTTAACTAAATGCAAACGTGTGGACTCAGTATATGAACTATAACTTATATAAGTAGGATATAAGAGTTATATAACTCAGTATAACTTGCGATGCGTGGACGTCAAGGGCAGAGAGACAGTTATGCGCTGCACTCTCCCCATGAGCCTGGCTACTGTTGGCAGATTTAACTCCATTGTGAGGCCAGATGTCTCTATCTTTGTTTTGACCAACTTCCTACCAATCACGCTGACCCGGGACCTTTGCTGACCTCACCAGAAAACAACTCAGCACCATCTAGTGGACTGAAAAAGCAATTGATTTGATTTTTCTAAAAAAACAAAAACAATTTTTTTTTTAAATAGTTTATATAATAAAAGATCGATACTTGGCGTCCGTGTATCGATACAATATCGCCACGCAAAATATCGCGATACTATGCTGTATCGATTTTTTCCCCCACCCCTAATAAACAGATGTAATCCAATTGAAGGCTTTTCACTTAAAAATACGCAATCTTTCATAATTTTGGACCATTTGTATTACTGTAGTTAAAGCCCAAAAAGCTTAAAGACAAAACTTGTCTTGACAAAAATAGTTGAATAACTATTACATATACATATCACAGCCTTTGACTAGGCTGGGCAATATATCAAAATGATATTGACATCGTGATTATCATGAGATGATCTAGATATCGTCTTAGATTGTAGATATCGTAAAATACCAGTATTTTGTTCAACCCTACTATATCGTTGCAATATCAGTGTCGAGGTATTTGGTCAGAAACATATTTGATTTTCTCCAAATCTCGCAACTACTTTCATCTGAACATTTCATTCTTACATTGTGGAAATGTTTGCCCTGTAAAGTCATATTCTGTAAATCAAAAGCGTAGATTCAGAAAACTGAACTTCATTTCATCAGTGAGTAACATTAGTCAACAACCAGCTCCGCCCGGCGTTGTGACGTTCTGACCGGTGGATGATTGGCTCTGATCGGTGATATCATGTACTGCTTCAGCAGGATATGAACATTGTATCGATAAATTACAGCTCCCTCGTTCTCAGGTCCAGATGCTCTCCACGCTGTTTTTACGCCTTATTGCAGGAAAAACCCTGTTCTTAGAGAAACAAACTTGAACATCAACATACTGTCTGTCGAAGAGGTCGGAGGTTCATATGAGACTGTCACTGTATACATTTCTTTTTTGTTTTACTTTCCATTGTGCTTCAACAACAGGCCTACGAAAAAAACACTTCCTGAATCTGAAAGTTTTGAAAAGCATACTGACAACTTCACTGCAGGAGTTGAGCTCAATGGTTTTTGTTCTGATGGCAGAAAGGCCATGGGGACGATCACAAACCATCACAAGCAATCTGTTTGGTACATTTGACCCATTAGTTCCAATAAAACTGAAAGCATGAAGTCAGCTGAGGCGGAGAGGGACTCCAATGCTCAATTTGCTGCAGGTGAGCTAGCTGCCTTTACCCTGAAGCTCCATCCATCCAGGAAGCAGAGAGGCAGGTAGAGGATACAGTGTAGTGGGACGGGACTTTCCACATAGCACGTTGCAATTTTCGTCTCGCTCACAATCTGAACGGCTGCAACTATTGAATATCCGTACAGGCGCGGATGCTTCGAAAACGCCTCTTGGCAAAGCGAGTCGGGCAAAACAGCTGAGGTGGAGAGGGACTCCAATGCTCAATGGGTCGAAAAATACAGAATCCAGAAAAATGAATTTGGCACCAGAGCATCTTTCATTGGAATGACAGTTCTCACATCAATTACTTATCATTGGTGGTGTAACGGATCACAGATCGATCCGTGATCGGTTCGGATCACCCCTCAGATTTTTTGTTGTTTTTTACAGTGTAATCATCATAGTGTGTAATAAAGTTTTACTGCTGCGGTTCCTTTTCAAGTAACAAGTCCCTGAATATCAATGCAGAGTGTCAGTGAACAGATATAAAGCAGTAGTGTGCTCACGTGAACGGAGCAGGTTAGAAGCATTTAACGGTGGAAGTCATGGCGACCAACATACAGGGGTAGTATACATTACAATGCAGCTCTACCTAATCATGCTAAGCCATGCCAGTGTAAGACATCTAGCAGAAGAGAATGTTTCATTTGAAGGCTGGCGCATGGCTGTGCTTCATTTCCCTCTCAGTCTCAGAGCACAGGCGTTGGCAGGACTGCTGGTTGTCATGGAAACCACTGGGTAATCGCTCTCTGTGGGAGGGCAGATGAGGAGGTGACCTCTCCAGGGGCCAGCATCGGTCTCCCACCTCCTCCAACTGCCGCCTGCCCTTTACCTCCCGCTATCAGAATGTTGATGGGAGAGTCGATGTGTAGGGGGATTGGCAGTTCATCTCCTGTTCATGTTGATTTTATCCGTCCTCGTGCTATGAAGTCACTACTGTGGAGTTTTCTTATTTGTCTTTGATGCTCTGCACAGTGGTCATCGCTGTGTGGTGTTTTAACGCCTCAATACTTGGAGCTGTTTTGTCCCGACATGGGGTGTCATTCAACACCTGCAGAGGGAAAGAACCGCTTATTCTTGGGAAACAAGTAAAACATTCACGCAGCATAGTTGACCTACACTGTCAATGCCAGTTCATTTTCTAAATTCCATGATATGAAACCTCACCCTCACACAATGTCAAATAAATGCTGTTGATGCCACCAAATTGTTTTGAAAGCTGTTTTTTTTCTTCTCACTATCAATTCATGCCTTGATGTTCAGGTAACAATTTAGCAAAACAGTACTGTTAGCTGTGAGTAAACGAGGACGATATAAGGGGCCAATCACACTGAGACGCGTCGCAAGAAACGTGTCGCCTGCAAAAACATGGTTTTCCTATGATACAGAATTTTTAAGCGGTTTTCAGGAGATTTTTAAGACGCGCATGAAGTTAAAATATTCCCATTTCTTCAGCACCAGGCACAGACATGTCACAATGTCACAATTGACCGAGGCAGCCAATCAAATTAAGCAAGAGGCCGGCCTTACTACTTTACCACTGACTTCCTGTTTTGATGGCACAGAGCTGACGCGTGCATAGAGCATATCTGTTGCGTGAAGCTGATTTCAATGTGACCCAGCAGACCTGTCTTCCGGACTTGTCCGCTTGGTCACTACGCCTCAAGTCGCAGCACAGTGAACTACTGCACACATGTGGAATGCGTCCTCCAAGTTGAAAGTATGGACAGAACTAGTACCAGTCCATGGTGTCTGCAGCTGTCCGCGTACACATCCGTTTGGGAGTGTAACCGATGCTTAAATCTTGCGAGTGACAAAACGCATCGGATACACTTGCGGTCTAGTCAGATTCAATAGTGGGTCGTATTCATTCAATCAAACATTACAGCAGTAGTTGTTGCCAACACACCTGATGGAGATCTGCACTCTACTGGGTGCACTTTCTCAGTTTATCAGCGTATATAATATGTAAAGTTCCTTTATTTAAATGCATTTATAGCAGCTTTAGTAGTTGATGATGTATTTGCCGTACTGATCACGTTTCAGTGGAGGTTAAGAGACGCCAGAAGGAGACGTTTTAAACCCGTCCTCCCCGCCATGATCATGGGAAACTTACGGTCTCTCCCCAACAACATGGACGAGTTATTAGCACACGAGTTATCAGAGGGGTTTACCCGGAGAGTAGCCTTGTGGTGTTTACGGAGACATGGCTAACGGAGCTAACTCCGGACACGCATGCTACGCTGGACGGGTTCCGTATCATACAGGCGGACAGGACAACGGAGAGCGG